CTGAGGATGACTTTATCTCTTGTGGGGTTTGACTTGGTGTCCTGAGTAAACACTCAAAGCTATCACAGCAGAGTCAGAGTGTGTTAGTACTTACAGTGGGCATTAAGCAGTCCACTGGGCTTTCTCGCACTTGGATGGCATATTCAGAGAGTGTGTGTTCAGTGTAGCACCAAAGAGGCTTTTGTTGACAGAAGGAAGCAATGAGCATGTCTTCATGGTTAATAGCCATGGCCACTGCACAAAAAGGTAAATCAGAATGAGTGGTGGACACAAATTGTGATGCCACATTAAATGTCAGTAGTTTTAAAAATATTTCTACAGTATTCATGCAACTATAGTATGGTTAAAAAGTTTGACTTCTTGTAGAAGGCACTTGTTCTTGCCAAGATTGAGATAAGATTGATAACACTGTCATGGCTGGCTGGCTCTGCCCACTGGCTCTGTCCGAGGGTACCAAACTTGTCCACCAGCACATCTAAATCTAATTAATTCACACACACCAATCAGCAGTAACATTATGTCCACCTGCCTAATTCTGTGTACACAGGAGTCAGTGCGGCAGTTGGTTGACATCTGTGTGGCTCTGCAGCTCATTTTAAATCTGTTTGCTTCCATTACTCTCAGAAAGAACACAAATGTGTTGACCATTCATTGAAAAACCTGTGTAAAAGAAATGAAAACTGTGGTCATGAGGACAAGTTGAGCTAATTTTTTTTTAATTGAATTCCGCGGCCTCCCTGCTCTAGCTGTCATATCACCACTATAGCCTCTGAGTCTTTCTCATCATAGAGACCGGTGTACAGTATTTTTCATTTTTGACCTTTTCAACAGAGGTTCAAACAAAATGAAACTGTTTGAAAAGGATGAATGAAATTTAAGTTTAATCTACTGTGGATCAACTTCATAGTCTGTGAGCCTTGGGAGCCCGTGGCCCTGTTGCAGTTCACTGTTTGTCCTTCCTTAGACCACTTTTAGTAGGTACTAACCACTGCAGACTAGGAACACTCAATAAGACCTGGTGTCTCTGACCCAGTTGTCAGCCATCAAAGTTTGGTTGGATCCTTATGCTGCTTTTTGTTCCTGCTTCCAACACATCAGCTTTGACTACTGAATGTTCACTTGCTGTCACTACCATGGTGCAACTCATGCCTAAATGCAAATTTCAGCCAGAACAACTTACTGAAACCCAAAGCAGCTTAGAAATCTCTTTAATCAAGTCCTGTACACTCATTAAAAACGACTCTTAACAAGCTGCTGTTTACATCTGTAGCATAGGAAGAGCGAGAAAGAAACGATGTCACACCTGCTTTTATACTGCAGGCAGAGAAATAACTTGAGCTGAAGAAGTTGAAGGAAAGGCAGGCACAGCTGATAAAGGGATCAACCCCGAGGCTACAGTGTTAGTACGCTAAGCCAGTCTGTGCTGCTGAAGAGATGTAGTATCATGATGGCAACTTGTGCTTATGGGATGTTACTGTTGTCAGCATGCCATTCACTGTTATGACTAAACACAGAGCAAAAGACAGCAGAGAAGTCACACAGCCCCCCTGCTTTTGAAACAAAACAGCTGCCTTGAAGAAGTGAAGGTCATTTCAGCAGAATGCAAACAGCAGCAGCGCTTCAGTCAGTGAAAGATGTGGGGAGATTGCAACATGTTGAGGCGTTGTAACTCATCACTGTTGGCTCACATACTTAGACAATACATTGTCCAAATCATTTCCCCACAGTGAAAATCTGCCTAATGATCTCAGTCTGCAGTGCTCTAATTCATTTATTATGCTAATAGGAAAAGCTGTTAGCCTGATCAGACATTGCATAAACATAAGTGTACTTCAGTGTTCTCTAATCACGTCGGAAGAGGATTTAACAGCTCCTAGCATTTCTGTCACATTATAAGGTGATGAAAATTATTCATAAAATTGTCAGATGATGATGATTAGGGTTTAAAATAGCTAATAAGCACCTCTGGACATGGATTGAGATCTTCCTCGCGAGGCTTTTAATTTGAGATTTTTGAGTATATGTGCTGTAGGGTGGCATGACCTAAGACGGTGCTTGCTACATGTGTGACGATAAAAATTAAAGGTTGTGTGTTCTCTCTGGGTGCAGCCTGACCCAGGTGGCTGTTGTTTTTTGTTTTTATCCATGCTCCAACACCTTAACCTTAATCTTGCTCAGCCTCTGAGGAGGGTGAATTCTTATTAAATAAAGTGGCAGTCCTGTGCAGCAGACTGCCATCACTGAGGAGCACTAAACGTCTGGCAGAGAACATGGCTGGTGAACTGTTCGGACATCATGTGGACCATAAAAGTCTGAAATGTGTCTAAGCCTTATAAAGATATAGGAATGAATTTTGTCACTTGCTGGCTGAGAGACAGCAACCGTGACAGCCCTTAGCTCAAGAAGCCTGAACTATAGTTTCTGTGCTGTTTTTTACTATTTTTAAATATCTGTACAAATATCACAAACCTTTGTGGTAGGAAACTACCCCAGTTAATGTGTGGACAATCACATTTTGTTCTCGATCCCTGTGTTCACACCAATAATCGGGTAGCTTCAAGATACATATTGAAATTAAGTTCCTGATAGTTGGCTGGGCTGCCAAATAAATCACATTTACATTTGATTACACTGCTTAAACATGTTTTATAGAAAAACAATTAAATTCAATTTGTATAGTGCCAAATCTCAACAAAAGTCATCTCAGGACACATAAAGTAAGGCCCAGACATTACTATTATTAATATTAAAAACCCAGCAAATCCCCCTTGAGCAAGCGCTTGGCGACAGTGGGGAGGAAAAACTCCAGACACACCCCGGCTCTTGGTGGGTGGCCTTCTACCTCGACAGGTTGGGGTGAGCGGATAGAGGAGAGAGAAAGGAAAAGCAACAAGGCACAAGAAACAAACAAACACTGGGCAGGGCGATGTGGCCGTATATGTGCTGGTGTGCACCAGGATGATCTGCCTGATTTCATCTCCCAGATTGTGCAGCATTTAGTTGAAAGAGTGCTCAATCTGTCAGTTGTTAATGAAGCTGCTTGTATTTTTGTACTGCATAAAATTAGGGGTTTAAAATAAACTGGGCAAGATATCATCCATTGTTTATTAGCTTGCAATCTTCTCCTTCTTTGTAGGCACATTTAACTCTTTGCAAGTTACTGTCGGCAGTTGTTGATCAGTGGGATTGGCACATGACATGAACATCATTGACAGTCTAAAGCTTCAGCCATTATGCTTTGTATTATGAATATGGCTCATTGAACGTTACCTCTGCATGGCAATATAATAAGATTCTATTAGGTAGAGAACTGTGCACAGAAGGAAGGTAGCATGCAGGTTACGGAGAACCAACAAAAATGCTTGCCAAGCTAGATTTGATATCCACAGAGATGAAAACCCTTCATATCCCATTTTCAGTTACCACAACTTCACCCCAGAATACCCCTCAGTGAAACTGACTATACTGTTTCAACTGTCTTATAACAAATGCATGTTTACACTGCTATGAACTGTCAGAAGTGCTTTGGAGAGACCTCGCTGAAATCGTACACAATAAGACAAGCCTTCCAGTGCTTCAGTTTGTAAATACTCCAAAGGGAATGTTGTTAATGTAATTTCCTAGTACTTGGTGTCCCCTGACTGCAATTGTTGGCTCCCTCCTTCGAGTGTGGGTTGGTGTTTTATTGCAACATCAGCATTATGACTGGGAGGAGGGAGGGCAATGCTTCTTTTTCTTTGGTCATATATCTCAGTGGACATCTTCACTGGCTCTTCATTATCTGTTCTCAGTCAACATCCCAGCAGGAGTGCATGTGTCTGGATTAAAAGCCTTGATTGTGCAACTGTCTGAAAGTCTGGCTGTCAGCCTTTTTACCAAACAACGCATCAATCTTCCACTGACTGGGATCTGCGTGCTTCCAATAAATGACTGATCTGTGTGCACAGTCTGTTTGTGACTGTTTTGTCTGCTCTGCTAGATCAAGAAATCCAAACAAGTTGCTAAACATGCATGGCCAAGCGCCAGCACTTATTAAATCTTTATCTTGACTAACAAGGACACCACTCGGGTGGATCTTTCTCAACTCCCATGTTTAGCCAAATGTTTTAGCTTGAGAGAAATAGCAGAGCAGTGAGAGCACGGACATCCATCAGTCTTGGCGCCACGTGGATGAATGCAAAACCCAAACCAAACAAAGAGTGATTAGTGGATCTGTTTAACTTCAGGACAAAAGGATCCCATTATTAGTGCAAATAGTTAAGTCAACTGTGGTCTGTTGCCTGCCTTCCTTTTTTCTCCCTTTGCAATGTGTCCCAATGCAGTGTCACTCAGCGCTTTTATAGCAATAATTAAGAAAAACCGCCAAAAAGGATTTCTTTGAGTGAGCAAGGTTATTTTGACAAAGTGCGTCAGGGATTTTGTCTCTGCTTTTTATCAAACTGATGTCATGTTAAACAACCCATCATCCTGTTACATCTGTCATCTTTGGTAGATTTACTGCACTGAAATACAATTTTGAGGCACTTTAGCATTTCTATGCTACTTTTTGCTTCTAGTCAAGTAAAGCAAGCTCGGGGGTTTTCAGTCTTTCAAACTTGCTATTAACAGTCCAGTGTAACAGTCCAGGCAGTGTCGGTTCTTGAAGTCGACATCCTTATATAGCAGTGCTCTGTAGTAATCTCTGTCCTTCTTGCTGAAAGTATCTTTCTGATTATGTCTGCAACTTGTTTAACCTCTATAAACTCAGATCCTCCACTTCTACTTATGTAGTCTACATCACTTTGTCTCTTCATTGTCACCTGAAATGAACTGAGGGTCATGTTGAAATCATCACAATTCCAGACATCATAACATTTAATGGTACATCACTAGGCAAGCTTGTCACTTGGGCTCTGCTCAAACTTCACCTAGTTGTCACTGTTGACTCAAAGTCAAGACAGATGGGACAAAATGTGTTGCATATTTTTACATTGTGGTGCTGCTATTTTTAATGAGGTAATAGGTAAAAATACTGTAACTCTGCCACTTGTAATCACATTCACCAATATAGTCTCATGACTTTGCAGTTGTACTTGTTTTCTCTGCCATGTTTATAAATTTGAGTGACACAGTGTGATCTCTGCACAGTTACCAGTGTGTAGTGATGTTGTGTTGCTGTGTCGGAGGCTTCACTGTGCTTGCTACTGATCTGGCTGAGAATTGCAGTGAAATCTCTATGACGTTGCCTCCAATTT